TAGTAAATAAACTGCAGAACGTTATGTTTTCTAATACACGCACGCGTTGCATGTATTCTGACAGCTTTACTGTTGTTCTGTAAAATAAAATAAAAAGTAAGACAATTATAGCTCTGTTTTAATACATTTATTATAACATACACACATAGTGTTCAAATTAGGATCTGTAATGTTTTAAAAGAAGTCTCTTCTCAGCAAGGCTGCTTTTAATTGTACAGTAAAAAATAAATAAAAAATACATGCCTGATTCAAGAAGGGGGTCTGATGGCCAAACATTATTATTTTACTAACTTATTAATTTTAAGTTAAATTGTGCTTTGTTGGTATGTCTGCTAGAATGTTAAAAATGTTCAGTGTTAAATATTTTTTAATTGTTGTTTTGTAATTGATTTTTTTTTTCTTTGAAATGCAAGACAAAACAGTAAACAGCACATTTTGGCTTTTTAATTTATGCAATGGTGAATTTTTTTTTTGCAAAATACATGGGGAAAAAACTCGAAAAACCGTGTTCGGTATGCGGCCTTCGGCCCAGTGTTGAATTTTGTTCGGTTTCGGCTTCGGCCAAGAATTTTCATTTCGGTGCATCCCTAATTTTATTACTTTCAGTGTAAACGGTGACTAATAGCAGATAATGTATCGACAGTATCAAGGTCGCATCAGTTGAGGCTCATGCAGCGTATCTGACTCATGAAGAAATACTATAAGCGCAACAGCACACACGAAACAAACATGAACAAACATACTGCGGTAGAAAAAAATATAAATATTCTATATAATATATGCAACATCACACGACCAAGAGTGATGTTTTCCCGACTTTCAGCACGATTGCAAATGTGACATTTATTTTATGCAACTTTAAACAAGTATGGATTTTGGCTATATATATGTGTTGTTACAAGTAGAGCACATCTAAAATGGGATTTACACATTCAGACTAGCACATAACTTTTCTCTGCTTTTTGTGGCCAATGTAAGTGCATTGAAGTGTCCATGATATTTGATTCTGAAGCTTTTTGAGTGTCAGATCATGTTTATTTCTGCATGCTTGCTTCCTCCTAACTAACAGTCTTTGTGTTCTTTATGTGTGTCTGATGTAGGATCTGAGGAAGCTTGTGGCTCCGCTGCTGAAGAGTTTCCAGGCTGAGGTGAGTTTTCTCCTGAACCGTAAGAGAGGTAAACCAGCAGATGAATGACTTTATTCAGGCGGTGGGATTTAATTTGTCAGCACAAGACGACACAACAGGACAGTCATTATGAGTAGATATGTTTGAGGGACAATCGGGAACAAGTGTGTGTGTGGGTGATATTTTCTCATGTGTGTCTCTTCTAGATTGATGCATTGAGTAAGAGGAGTAAAGAGTCAGAGACGGCCTTTCTAAACGTCTATAAACGACTGATTGATGTGCCGGGTAAGTCTGTGTGTCATAACCATATGAGATGCATGATTAAAACATCATAATCCTCAAATATTTCCCTTTTATGTTGCAATAATAGCAGGTAATAATAATTAGCGGTCATTTCCAGTCAGAAGATGAGCCAACTGTATGCCATATTAACATATGACATACGTTTTATGAAATTTAGGTTTATAAAAAGTCTTACTTTTCTTAAATGGTATAAGAAAAGTCTTAATTATCGTTTAAGAGGTCTTACATTTTGGGGATGGAAAAGCAGTAATTACGATATGGCTTAAAGTGATTGAATTAAATGTGAGCGCTGCACGTAAAAACATGCTGCCGTTCTGCATTCTACAGATTATAATCATCAATGAATGCCACACATTTATGCCAATAGATTGCTAATGAACTACTGTTGGTGAATCATGACAATGTTTACTTTATGGTGTTTATATTGTAGTGTGTTTTAGTTGGTTGTAAGAATGCATATTTTATCTCAAAAATGTGCATGTATTAGAAAGCATAACGTTCTGCAGTTTATTTGCTAATTGTTTAGGCCATTTCAATCATCATACAGTAACCAGCAACAACCACCCTCCTCTTCTCATCGAAGACATGAGATGCAGTATTAAACAGTCTCTGTCAATTGTAAGATTTTTGCATCTTTCTCAGACACTTCCACACTGCTGACGTGTTTGCTGCGTTGTAAAGAATGCGTGCCTCTCACTCTGCGCTGGTTGCTATTGATCGCGTCACGTCATTGTTCGGTACAGTTTATTCTGTCTTTTCGCTTATTTGGCCAAACACCGAAAGAGTGCACTTTTTTTTGCTATTTACAGCCCTAATTAGTGCATGATCCCTAATTGGTATATTGGTACATAAACCAATTTGAGTAGGCATACATATTGAATAAAGCATATATAATCTTGCATATACCCTGATATGCAGATTGTCTGGGCCTAGATGGTTCAGTAAATGAAAAGAACTCAAACTTCTGTTATAAGAACCTGTGTTGATCAGCTGTTTGAGAGCTTTGCTGAAGGCGCTGTTAACTGTGGCTGTGTGTGTGTGTGTGTGTGTGTGTGTGTGTGTAGATCCGGTGCCAGCATTGGAGCTGTCGCAGCAGCTGCATCTGAAGCTCCAGAGGATGCACGACATAGACACGGAGAACCAGAAGCTGCGTGAGACGCTCGAGGAGTACAACAAAGAGTTTGCTGAGGTCAAGAACCAGGGTGAGACATGCACACACACACACATATAACACTGGAAGCATCCTGTCATCTTTTCCCCATGATGTATGTAGTAGAGATGAGGTTAGGCTTAGACTCAAATGACACGGCCTGGTTCATAAAAATATTTTTATTGAACTTGTTCTGGAAAAAAGTGGTGTTGGAACTAGGCCTGGGCGATAAAACGGTATCGATATTTATCGATGGTACACCTTCATCGATAACGATATAAAAATGTGCGATATAGCGCGCGATATAGGCACGTGCTCTGAGTGACGCAGACAGCACACACAAACACGAACACATGCTGAATTGAGTGCTGCGCCTGCCTGTGATGAGGAGATTGTGAATTAAAAAAAAGAATATTAGTCGAATTTAAAATAAACATTTGCATTAGAATGAAAAAATGGTACAATCAAATGTTAGGAGTGCGTCTGGGAACATCATCAGTGGAGCGTGAGATGCGGTGATGATTATGTAATTGACATTGTTGCATTGTAATGTTTTGTTAGTCTAGCCCACGAGATGCGCCGCTGCTGCGTTATTCATTCAAAATATTAGAGAAATGTAGTAGCTCAATGTGGAGAAGATCTTGATTAGGGCAAATATGACTGCTGCACTCGCGTCTCATGCAAGAGATGCAAAGAAGGTCATGCAAAGTTAAAACCGTTTTAACGTTTAGAAAACGCGATGCGAATTTGTGAAGGTTTATTTTATTTCACTGCGTCTCATGTTTTTAAATGCAATCTGTGTGATCGGCGACTTGGCTCTTTGTATTAGGCTAAGCAATGCATAAACACATGATGCTGTTTTGTTCATAATGATTTATATATGTTAATTTAGACGTTATGCACGTTATTATTTATATATGTTCATTTAGACGTTATGCAAATTTGTCGTTTGTCTCAATAAATTGGGCAAATTAAAAATACAGTGGTTAAATGTAAAAAAAAAAATTATATTGATCTGTTTTAAAAAAGGTTATAAAAAATGTCAATAATTATCGATACCGAACGATATGAAACGTATATCGTTGATATATTTTTTAGCTATATTGCCCAGCCCAAGTTGGAACCGTGCTGCATTACTTTGCTCTCTGAATATGTTAAAGTGCCCCTATTATGAGTTCTGAAAGGTTCATATTTTGGTTTTGGGAGTCCCCAGCAACAGGTCGACATGCATGCAAGGTCAAAATTACTATTTATTTTTTAACTATAATAATCAACACTCTAATAAAAAAATTATTTGCAAACATGTGAATTGTTTTTAAATTAACTTCTAAATTATACAGTTTCTATTTGTTGTTGAAACTTGTTTCATAAAATATGTATTTAAACATATACATTAAATAGTTATGACATCACTAACAGGTAAAATAAGTATAGTGAAGTATAGGCCTAGTCTAATATTTCACAAAATGCTCTTCACTAGACTTCATTTCTCAGCAAATAACGAGCTGTGGACACTTGCCTGTTGTAAATGAAATGCTTCGTGACATTTTGTTTGCAAGCTGTTTTAGTGACGTCTTTCTGCGGTTGAAACACTGATTGAGGGGTGAGATGTTCATTCATGTTTATTTTGCGTTAAAACTAGTAATAAAGATGAAGGGATGATCATGCTGTATTAGCACAGGTTGTGTGTTAGTCACAGCTTCACTGAAATTTGCGATCTGTTTGTAGAGGTGACCATTAAAACACTGAAGGAGAAGATCAGAGAGTATGAGCAGAGCATGAGGAACCAGGCAGAGAATCTGGCCTTGGAGAAACACCAACAGATTCATAAAAACTATGAGGAGAAAGAGAGGTCAGTACCCATCGTGCTCCATCTCATCTTTATATAATCCACAGCTTAAGATATCTAAATCATGAGCGGTCCACCTCACTTTTACGGTCATCAAAGCAATAGACCAGCCATTGAATAGCATTAAAAGTTATATTCTGCCACTTCAGATTTTGGCTTTCTAGTAGGTTATTAAAATAGTCCACATGATTAACTTGTAATTCTGAAGGTCTTTCAGTATTTTGTTTTCAACCCTGATCAAACTCACCTGCCTGTGTTTTTCAGGCCTGGAGATTTAAAGATCCCTGATGGAAATAATTGGAGTCTGTTTTCACAAATGACTCATAGTGGGTTTAGATGCTGTTCCTCTCTCTAGCTGGGTTTCCATCCAAAGATGCAAATTACATTTATGTGCAAAATTGAAATATCGCATAAAACATTGCAAAAAAGCACCGTTTCCATCCAACGAGTCAAAGAGAACAAAATCGTCACCTCCTGATAAACTGGCAATAAATATCACTAAGAAAAGTAGGAGAAGTAATAATTTTCATATATAATAAATTACTTGCGCCTCAGAACAAGCAGATGAAACACAATAAATGCGGTCATTGCTTTCGGAGGCGGATGCTGCTGTTTGGGAACGCAGTCGTGTAAGACGATTATACAGAAATGCTTTGATGACAGACTTTGCTCTGGATTTTCAGAATGACCATAACAACATTTCAGATGCTGTGGAACGAGATCGGGAGCGGTCCACCTCACTTTTACTGTCATCAAAGCAATAGACCAGCCATTGAATAGCATTAAAAGTTATATTCTGCCACTTCAGATTTTGGATTTCTAGTAGGTTATTAAAATAGTCCACATGATTAACTTGTAATTCTGAAGGTCTTTCAGTATTTTGTTTTCAACCCTGATCAAACTCACCTGCCTGTGTTTTTCAGGCCTGGAGATTTAAAGATCCCTGATGGAAATAATTGGAGTCTGTTTTCACAAATGACTCATCGTGGGTTTAGATGCTGTTCCTCTCTCTAGCTGGGTTTCCATCCAAAGATGCAAATTACATTTATGTGCAAAATTGAAATATCGCATAAAACATTGCAAAAAAAGCACCGTTTCCATCCAACGAGTCAAAGAGAACAAAATCGTCACCTCCTGATAAACTGGCAATAAATATCACTAAGAAAAGTAGGAGAAGTAATAATTTTCATATATAATAAATTACTTGCGCCTCAGAACAAGCAGATGAAACACAATAAATGCGGTCATTGCTTTCGGAGGCGGATGCTGCTGTTTGGGAACGCAGTCGTGTAAGACGATTATACAGAAATGCTTTGATGACAGACTTTGCTCTGGATTTTCAGAACGATCAGAACAACATTTCAGATGCTGTGGAACGAGATCGGTCCGCTGGTTAGTCAGGTTTTGCCGTCCCATAGCACAAAGACTTTTTTGATGCACATGGAGGAATTTATTCGGTAAATGCGTTTCCATCTCCCATGAAGTCAAAAACCACCTCAAGCGAGCATAAAAACTTTTTTTCAAATGAAGGGATTTTTATTTGAAATTTGGTGTTTCCATCACTCGTTTCTGATGCGATACTTCAAAATAAATGAAGGTGATGGAAACATAGCTACTGTGTCCCATCGTTTTTGTTGGTGAGTAAAGTATCTCTTGTTGTGTTCTAACAGGAAGTTCCAGGAGTCGCATGAGTCTTTGGTTGGTAAACTACAGGAAGCTGAACTCAAAGTCCAGACCCTGCAGACAGGTACCAGAGCAGCTGCTCAAAGAGGCCCATTGTATTTCATTTGTCAGTGCAGTTCATCTTCTGATAAAAAATCTCATCTGTATTTGATTTATCAATGAATTATTCATTCAAAAGCTCTTCCTGCATGTACTAATAAACAGGAGCTCTGCTAGAGTGTGTGTGTGTGTGTGTGTGCGCGTGTGTGTGTGTGCGTGGGAGCAAGTGTGAGTGCGTGTGTGAGTGTGTGTGTGTGTGTGTGTGTGCGCGTGTGTGTGTGTGCGTGGGAGCAAGTGTGAGTGCGTGTGTGAGTGTGTGTGTGTGTGTGTGTGTGCGCGTGTGTGTGTGTGCGTGGGAGCAAGTGTGAGTGCGTGTGTGAGTGTGTGTGTGTGTGTGTGTGTGCGCGTTTTTGTGACAAATGAGGACATAAATTTGTATATTGACAAAGGTATGACAGGTATTACAAGGAGAGGTGACTTTTCAGGACATTACCCCATGTCCCCACTTTTCAAAACGCTTATAAATCACACAGAATGGAGTGTATTGAAAATCTGAAATAGCACAAAGTCTCCTGTGAGGGGTAGGTTTAGGGGTAGGGTTGGTGTAGGGCAATAGAATATACGGTCTGTACAGTATAAAAACCATTACGCCTATGGAGAGTCCCCACTTTTCACAAGTGTAAACCTGTGTGTGTGCGCACGCTGTAGGTTATATTATATATTTTATTATACCATTATATTTATCATTATGTGGTTGTGTGTCTTTGCAGCACTTGAACGAACTCAGACAGAGCTTTTTGACCTGAAAACCAAATATGACGAAGAGTCGACTGCAAAGTAAGTGCTTGTAACTTCATATGTGGATCATCATTCATATTCATTTATTAACCAATTTATTATTAATCTCCCCTATGATAAACTCTAGAGCCCGACCTATATGGGTTTTTTGGGGGCCGATGCCGATATTAGGGAGTAAAAAAGACCGATACCGATATATCGGCCGATATTCTTTGTGTAGGCTATATTATAGTACAGTATAGTCAAAAGTTTGGACACACTTCCCATTTGTGTGTCCAAACTTTTGACTGGTACTGTATATAGAATACAGTATATAGCCTACATAAACAGAATATATATACATAAACACATTTTTTGCAATGATAACTCAAATGTGGTGATCAAACTCTTAAAATGATGTGACAAACATAGGCCTATGTAATGGAGCCAGGGTACTTAACAATTTAACAATAAACTTTATTATTCAAAATGAGTCTGGCATCAGTGAACTTAACAGTAAAGTTCACTTATTATATATAACTTAACACAAGTAGAACAAAATATATATAACTTGAATTAAGAAATTAAACAAGGTAACTGTGTAGGGCAAGAAAGCTACTGCCAAACCAACAGGGGCAGGTTTATGCAGGAAGCACAGCTTTTCCAAATGTAAACATCTAAAATGAATAAATAATAATAATGAATAATATTTTTTTTTCACAAACTCTGTTGTGTATTTTTTGGTAATCCAATGAACATGCAGAACATTCGTATTTAAATAAGTCTTTTTGCAGTTTAATATTCACAGACACATTCTCTCTCTCTCTCTCTCTCTCTCTATATATATATTTATATATATTTGTGTACTGACCTGTTTTTTATTTATTCATCACATGAAATTCCACGTTATACAGTAAATTCCATTATGACTGGATTCCGCGATTCTGTTCATGTTTTCTGCATCGCGGAAATCATGGGGCCCTACTAATGTAGCAAACGAATATGATAATCTCATTGTGAGAGTAAAAGATGAGGGCATTGATGTTTATTTACTTAGCATTGAGTCTCTCCAACTAGGTGACAACGTAGTATTAAATCCCCATTCAACAGACTCAAGCCACCACACTGCAGAAAGATACTAACTTTTCAATCTGCTACTTCTCCCAGTCAAAATGGTCTGCTTGTTAATGCTGGCAAATGCTGTTTACTAAGTTTATAAATGGTTAAATAGTGCACAATATACATTTAAGATGAATGTGACTTGCCGGTCTAAAGTTTATTGGGCCACTTCTAATTAAAGAGTCTGTCTGATCATCATCGTCATAATCATCATGTAATTAGATGTGTGTTACATTAATACAGTGTGAGCGCATGTTCACATAATAAGCATTGAAGCACATAGAATTCATCTCTGCATTTGTACACATGTATTACAAGAGAGATATTTGTGAATTTATTTGGTTCTCAGAGCTGATGAGATTGACATGGTGATGACTGATCTGGAGCGAGCCAATCAGGTACAGATTCATTCCTTTTGTAACACTTTCATCAAATTCCAAGTTTTCAGATTGCACTTATGACAGACATGGTTTTTCCTCATCCTGGTTGTGCATTTTTATATTGAAAATAATACATAAATTGTTAAAATGCAAAAAAAACGAATGTTAGAAGGGTTAGTTCACCAAATAATTATGAAAATTGTGTCGTCATTGTGTCAATCATATTGTTCCACACCTATAAAACGTTGGCTAATCTTGAAATACATTTGTGGAAAGTATCGTTTTTGAAAAATTTGGTTGTGTTGACTTTCAGTAGAAGGACAGAAACTTAAAAAAACATCTAAATTTGTGTTTCAAAGTTTCAAACCAAAGTTTTATGGGTTTGGAATGACATGAGGTTGAGGAAATTATCACAGAATTTCCATTTTGGGGTGAACTGTCCCTTTAAAAGCTAAGATGATGGTGTTGTTAACTCTGTTGATGATGTTTTTCTGCAGAGAGCAGAAGCTGTTGAGAGGGAGGTTGAAGCTCTGAGAGAGCAGATCACATCAGCTAACAAATCATCCCCACTGCAGACACGGATCGACTCGACTCCATATACGGTACCTGCTCTCCGCTGCTGTTCCATATTCTACTATAGAGGTGGCTGGTAGCGAGATTATAAGACTGCCGAATCTTAAACACTTCAATATGGTTTGCCAAATAAACTAAACCACTGCTATAATCTCATAAAGTATATATAAAGGTTTCAAGAAACAAGCTAGTTAATTTCTCCAATGATGCATCATACTATGGTGGTTACATAGTTGTGTGGGAAACCCAGCCCTGATCACTGTCTTAGTATGCCTTTATTCTTGTACTCCTCTTTTAGCTTTGTTCATGTCATCTTTCTTAGTGACGTACAGTGTTGGGGAGTAACTAGTTCCCTTTCAGTCAGTCGCGTTCAACGTTACGTCGACTGACGTTAGAGGTCTCACTCGGGAGCCCCAATCACCTCTGAGCTTCAGAAGAAAAGGCCAATGAGAATTGGCAAGTGAAGTGCATGCCAAGCCACTCCCCCATACATACGGGTATCTAAAATGGCAGCGTGCATCCACTCATTCAGATTTTTGCTTCGGAGCCGATCGCTTCGTGAGCGCTGCTTTCTAGAAGAAAGAAGAAAAGGAATCTACACCATTAAGCTGCAGGAGTTCTCAGCTGTGGAGAATCTTCCTTCTCTTGCATTTCTGCAGAGAGATCGCCTCGTTACGCACAGATAAGTGCCACAGTCCTTCCCTGGGCAAACCAGCCTAAAAGAGCAATTTCCTACAGCATGCACGGTTGTCGAGAGTGTCTTTCGAGATGTCTTTCCGACCGTGTGCTTCTGGGTGCAGTAGTTTCCTTACCTCTGACGATGGGCATGATCGCGGTCTCACGTGGCTGGGCCGTAAGCATGCTGAGACTGTGTTCGTGGATGGGCTCATGCCCACATTGTGAGCACATGTCCATGGCTATGCTAATTTATAATGAGGCTTCCCTCGGGCTCTACCCAGCCTAGTTCGTTGGGTCATAAAGACTCTGTGGCTGCGTTGATTAGGGACAAGGGTGACGCGAGGATCATGGTCAGGAATGCTTCGGCGGGCCAGCCCCCATGGAAGTCCGGCCCCTCTCAGTGTAGCCCCGTTGAGCTCCCGGAAGATGGCACCGGTTCGTCCTGCGGCATACCCAGCGTCTCTTTTAGGGCTCCGGAAGAGGATAAGATGTCTATTGCTGCATCAGAGGAGGGGCTATCATCTTCGGAAGCCGAAGATTCTGCTGAAAAGCCCCCCGCCGCAGCGGCTGCTCATTCGGAGTCCGAGGCTCAGTTGACGGCCATGCTCCTTGGGGCAGCCAAGAGCATCATACTGGAGGTGAACTCTTCGCCTTCTCCCGAGCGCTCGAGGCTCGATGATTGGTATCTGGGCTCCGGACGTGAGTCCCAGCCACGCTCCGCCCCAGTGCCTTTCTTCCCAGAGGTTCATGAAGAGCTCACCAAAACGTGGAAAGCCCCGTACACCGCCCGATCATGTTTAAGCTCTTCCCTTCTCACTACCCTCGATGGTGGGGCGGCCAGAGGGTACGTTGACGTTCCCCAGGTGGAGCGTGTGGTGGAGGTGCATTTGTGCCCGCAAAATGCTGCCACCTGGAGGAACCGTCCGTGCCTCCCGTCCAAAGACTGTAAGCTGTCGTCAGCCCTGGCTGCCAAGGCTTACAGCACTGCGGGCCAGGCCACCTCCGTCCTGCACGCCATGGCCGTCCTGCAGGTTCACCAGGCCAAGGCACTGAAAAATCTGCATGAGGGTAGTCCTGACTCGGGGTTGATGCAGGAATTGCATACGCCGACCGACTTTGCTCTCCAAATGATGAAGGTCACGGCGCGGTCCCTCAGTCAGGTGATGTCCACTATGGTGGACCAGGAACACCATCTCTGGCTGAACCTGGTGCAGATGCATGATGCCGACAAAGTTTGCTTTCTCGATGCCCCCGTCTCCCAGGCTGGCCTCTTCAGCGACACTGTCGAGGACTTTGCCAAGCAGTTCTCTGCAGTCCAGAAGCAGACGGAGGCCATCAATCTCATCTTGCCTCGGCGTGATTCTGGATTCGGTCAACATGACAGCACGTCTCACGAACAAGCGTGCGCAGTCAGTGTTGAACTTTGTGAATTTGTCCCTCTAAAACTATTTCACAGGCTCCTGAGGCATATAGCAGCCGCAGTTACGCCGCTCGGCCTGTTACATATAAGACCGCTTCAGCATTAGCTGCACGGCCGGATCCCGATATGGGCATGGCTCCATGGCACTCTTCGGTTCGGCATTAACCTGGGTTGTCGCCACCTCTTCAGACCTTAGTCAGACCCTGTGTTTCTATGGGCAGGAGTGCCCTTAGAACGGGTGTCGAAGCATATTGTTGTCACCAGACGGGCTGTGGCACCGTATGCAACGGGCATGCAGCCTCGGGTTCCTGGACAGGACCTTGACTGCAGTGGCACATCAATTGCCTCGAGTTGCTAGCAGAGCTGCTGCTTGCTCTTCGCCCGTTTTGACCGTTGCTGCTGGGCAAGCATGTACTTGTCTGGATGGACAACACAGCGACAGTGGCGTATATCAACCACCAGGGCGGTGTTCGCTCCCGTCGCATGTCGCAACTCGCCCGCCATCTCCTCCTCTGGAGTCAGACGCGGCTCAAATCGCTGCGTGTTGTTCATGTTCTGGGAAAGCTCAATCATGCAGCCGACGCTCGTCTCACGACAGCTTACCCTCCCCGGAGAATGGAGACTCCATTCTCAGGTGGTTCAGCTCATTTGGAGTCGATTTGAGGAAGCCCAGGTGGACCTGTTCGCTTCCCGAGTGTCCTCTCGAGAGGCTGTTTTATTCCCTGACTGAGGTCCCCCTTGGCACGGATGCGCTGGCACACAGCTGGCCCCGGGGTTTACGCAAGTAGGCCTTCTTCCCAGTGAGCCTCCTTGCACAGACCCTGTGCAAGATCAGGGAGGATGAGGAGCAGGTCCTGTTGGTTGCGCCATTCTGGCCTGGTTATGTGCCCAAGGTTCCCACCACTCCCTTTCGAGACCAGGTGGTGAGCCTGCAAGCGCTGCCCTCGGAGGAGGCAGACCCGGCCCTTGCGTTGCTGTGTCCCGTCCGTGCCTTGCACATTTACGTGGAATGCACCCGGAGTTTCAGATGCTCCGAGCAGCTCTTTGTCTGCTTTGGAAGCCAGCAGAAGAGGATGGCAGTCTTCAAACAGAGGTTGGCTCATTGGTTGATGGATGCCATCACCTTGGTGTACCAGTCCCAAGATGAGCCGTGCTCCCTGGGAGTGAGGGCTCATTCCACTCGGAGTGTTGCCTCTTCCTGGGCATTGGCGCATGGCATCTCTCTTGCAGACATCTGTAGGGCTGCGGTCTGGGTGACACCTAACACCTTTGCAAGGTTCTATAATCTTCGGGTGGAGCCCGTGTCCTCCCGTGTGTTGGGTAATATCAGGTCATTTGCGGGAGGCGGGCTCTGTGTTCGGCTTGCGGCACCATTCCTAGTTTGGATGCATGCGCTTTTTTCCCTAGTTGTTCCCCGCTGGTGAACTCTGGGTCCTCCGCTGCCCTGCAGTTGCAGACTTGACAGAGAAGTCTGTTACTGCGTCCGGTGGCAAGTTGCCTTCTTCTCTATGGACCTGGCTTTTATATCGCAGTTCTGCCACGGTTGGATTCCACCGTGTTCCCCTTGATTCCTTCATTTTCCAAATTTTTCACATGACCTTACATTCTGTCATTGTGCTTGGCCCCCCAACGGTTGCCGATGAAAACACTGGCACCCCTGGTAGGCCCGCTTATCTGGCTTGCAGGGCGTTGGGAAGGTTACGATTTGAGATACATTTGTTCTGAAACGCTTGCCTGTCAGCATCTGCATCCTCAAGTTACGGAGCACAGTTCGGGTTGTGGCATTTTCCATAGGGACCCCTAACGTCAGTCGACGTAATATCAAACGTAATTGACTGAAAGGGAACATCTCGGTTACGTATGTAACCCTTGTTCCCTGAAGGAGGAAACGGAGACGTTACGTCCCTCATGCCACAACCTTGAACTGCGCTGAATGGGCAGGTTGCGTCTAGGCTCCTCAGCACAAGCCTGAATGAGTGGATGCACGCCACCATCTTACTGTATATACCCGTATGTATGGAGGAGTGGCTTGGCATGCCAATTCCACTCGCCAATTCTCATTGGCCTTTTCTTCTAAAGCTCAGAGTTGATTGGGACTCCCGAGTGAGACCCTTAACGTCGGTCGACGTAACGTCTCCGTTCCCTCCTTCAGGGAGCAAGGGTTACATACGTAACCGAGACGTTCCCTTTCAGTCGGTCACTCTCGACATCACATCGGAGGACCGAAGAAATTGGGATCCTACCAAAGGGCCACAGCTACTGCCCCTTCCAGTGTCCTGTGGAAGCCACCTGCGCCCCTATTTTTTGGCGTAGGCCAGGGCTTCTTCACAAGCAGGGAGCAAGGGTTACATACGTAACCGAGACGTTACATTTAACGGAATTGCGTAATGTAATTACTAAATAAATGTAATTGTAATCGGTTACAGTTACTGAGAAAAAATGTGTAATTAAATTAGTTACTTTAAATGTGAGACCCCAATGTTTCAGGAGTTTAGGACACAGAATACGACACATGCTTATTTGATAACTGTTTTATTTCCTATTTGGGTTTATGTGTATGCTTTATTTTCTAAGATTAACTTCTTTTTTTTCCCCAAGGCACTGTTAAATGTCAGTTTTTCCTGTTTCCTATGCAAAGATTTGATTTCAAAAACAGTATCATAACTATATCTTATGATTTTAAATCTATATTTAACTTCAGAACAATCTCAAAGTAAAAAGAGGTGCTAAAGTCTGATTTTGTGGTGCTGTGCTTTAAATTAAATTATTATAATCTTAACTGAAGTGATGAAGATTTTGAAAGTGACAGTAATCAGTGTTGAGCGCTACTGTAAGGTTAACCCTGCCTGCTTTACTTGTTTCAAAATTATTAACAGTTGAAAACATTAGAAATTTAGAAAAATAATCAAATGTAATCAGTTACATTAATAAAGTAATTTAAATAGTTACAATATGTACATTTTATTTATTCATTTACATCTTACATTTTAGATAGGGTAACTTGTAATCTGTAATCTATTACATTTCCAAAGTAAACTTCCCTACACTGATGACATAATAAGTGTTACACATTCCTAATTCTGACTCTAGCAGGTGCTCCACTGTGATTTTTGGCTAACGTTACTGTTGGTTCACCTCTTTCATCCGCAGCACGTCAGTAATGCACAGTAAACCTCTGTGTGAGATCTGACACATTCGGCTGTGTCTGTGTGTGTTTATATGGTGCTCAGTGTGTTGTGTGTGTGTTAATCAGGATGAGAGTGCCGAGCTGGTGTCGCGCTCGAGTCTGGAGTCAGAGCTCAGTGCGAAGGAGCGCGAGATGCTCCAGCTGGTGGAGGACGTCCAGAGACTGCAGGCCAGCCTCTCCACACTCCGAGAGAGCTCAGCCGCACAGATCAGCCAGCTACAGCAGCAGCTCAAGAGCCAGACCGCCATGCTCCAGGTAGACAACCTCACTCAAACCACTCTTGCATTACTCTCGACTTCCAGTTTGCGAGACAGAACTGGCGTCCTGGATAGTTTTCTAAATGAACACAAAAAGCTGAAGTCCTGCAAGTCTGGTGCATACTGTAGCTGAAGCTGCTCAAATTTTTGATGTGTGATTGTTTTTTTTTTTTGCAGTTGATTTTCGGCCACTGAAAATGCCATTTTCGATTTTCAGCCGAAAAGAGAAAAATATAATTTGAGCACTAACAAAAGCTTTTTCCAAGGTTGGCAGGTCTAAAAAGTCTTACAAAATTACTTTATATTATTTAATAATATAATAAATAATCATTACAAAGCATTTTCGGTTTCGGTTTTCGGCCAAGTGCATCCAGAATTTTCGGTTTCGACCCAGAATTTTCATTGCGGTGCATCCCTAGTGACTACAGAAATAGACTGGATGCTCATCCAAATAAAGGCACAGCCATGTCTGTAAAAAAATTGTACAGAAAACACAGAAGAAACGATGAGTAGGAAAATAGATCTTGAGCGCAATAATCCACAAATGCAACTACTGACAATAAACTGAAAGTAAATGTCATACAGTGTCACATTTATTCATGAAATTGTATTAAAATCTTTCCAGAAATAGTTTTCCCCCTGTATAACTATACTAGTATTTTAATTTCCTACTACACACCTGCACACTTACGAAACATATCTTATTAACAGTTGCAAAGGGTCACACTTTATTTTAAGGTCCAGTTCTGACTATTAACTATTACCTATGACTTTTGCCTTAATAAAGTCATATTTTGCTGCTTATTAATAGTTAGTAAGGTAATTGTTAAGTTTAGGTATTGGGTAGGATTAGGAATGTGAAATATGGTCATGCAAAATATGTGCTTCATAATAAGTACTAATATACAGCCAATGTACTAGAAATATGCATGCTAATAAGCAACTAATTAATAGTGAGAACTGGTCCCTATACTAAAATGTTACCAGTTTACAAATTCAGACACAGTAATTTTCATGTGAACAACCTGTCTGTGCACATTACTGCCCAAGAGCATCTCATGGACCTTAAGCATGTAAAGCACAGAAATAGTGTTTATTTTTAAGCTGATAACATGAGATTTAGTGGCTCTGACTGATTTGAGAATGATGAGAACTCCATCATTTTGACAGACTAGGTTGTACATCTTGTTTACTTGTGCACCTCACATAAACTGATCTGTGCTTGGCAGAACTGGTTGCACAAGAACGTGGTTTCCAGTGGTCATGCTGGGCAATGCATAGTGATAATGAAACAATAAAAATAAAAAATTGCACTGTGTCAGGAAGGTCGCTGTATTGTTCTAAACTGTTCTTTTTTCCGGGGGTATTGATGTTGTAGTGTGCATCGTGTACGGTTTGATCTTATACTTCAGTGGCCATGTAACAGGCTGTGTGTGTACGATTGAGCTGCTCCGCTGTTGTACATTTGCCCTCATCACAGTCTTTTCATTTGTCCAGCAACTGGAGGAGAAGCTGCAGACGCAGACAGACTATGAGGAGGTGAAGAAAGAGCTCAGGTAAGAGATGTTCCTGCTGATGACATCACTAGTCTTATTATAGGCACAGCCATGTCTGTAAAAAAATTGTACAGAAAACACAGAAGAAACGATGAGTAGGAAAATAGATCTTGAGCGCAATAATCCACAAATGCAACTACTGACAATAAACTGAAAGTAAATGTCATACAGTGTCACATTTATTCATGAAATTGTATTAAAATCTTTCCAGAAATAGTTTTCCCCCTGTATAACTATACTAGTATTTTAATTTCCTACTACACACCTGCACACTTACGAAACATATCTTATTAACAGTTGCAAAGGGTCACACTTTAATTTAAGGTCCAGTTCTGACTATTAACTATTACCTATGACTTTTTTTGCCTTAATAAAGTCATATTTTGCTGCTTATTAATAGTTAGTAAGGTAATTGTTAAGTTTAGGTATTGGGTAGGATAAGGAATGTGAAATATGGTCATGCAAAATATGTGCTTCATAATAAGTACTAATATACAGCCAATATACTAGAAATATGCATGCTAATAAGCAACTAATTAATAGTGAGAACTGGTCCCTATACTAAAATGTTACCAGTTTACAAATTCAGACACAGTAATTTTCATGTGAACAACCTGTCTGTGCACATTACTGCCCAAGAGCATCTCATGGACCTTAAGCATGTAAAGCACAGAAATAGTGTTTATTTTTAAGCTGATAACATGAGATTTAGTGGCTCTGACTGATTTGAGAATGATGAGAACTCCATCATTTTGACAGACTAGGTTGTACATCTTGTTTACTTGTGCACCTCACATAAACTGATCTGTGCTTGGCAGAACTGGTTGCACAAGAACGTGGTTTCCAGTGGTCATGCTGGGCAATGCATAGTGATAATGAAACAATAAAAATAAAAAATTGCACTGTGTCAGGAAGGTCGCTGTATTGTTCTAAACTGTTCTTTTTTCCGGGGGTATTGATGTTGTAGTGTGCATCGTGTACGGTTTGATCTTATACTTCAGTGGCCATGTAACAGGCTGTGTGTGTACGATTGAGCTGCTCCGCTGTTGTACATTTGCCCTCATCACAGTCTTTTCATTTGTCCAGCAACTGGAGGAGAAGCTGCAGACGCAGACAGACTATGAGGAGGTGAAGAAAGAGCTCAGGTAAGAGATGTTCCTGCTGATGACATCACTAGTCTTATTATTGCCGTTAAAGCAATAATTCACCCAGAAATGAACATTTGCTGTTAATTTACTCGTCCTCAGGCCATCCAAGATGTAGCTGACTTTTTTCTTGAGTAGAGCAGTAAAGATGATTTTTAGCTAAAACCGTGCTCCTTTGTGATTCATGCAATGCAAGTCAACAGCTACCGGCGCTATGAGAGTCAAAAAAGCATATGAGACAACACAAAATTAATACACGCGACTCCTGATGTTATATTGAAGTCTTATGAAGCAATCAGTCTGTGCGAGAAACATGAACATTATTACCTGTAATCCATAGACTCGGACAAACAGGGGAATCTGATTCTCTTCTGTATCTAAAACCAAACCCTGTCTTTGCTTAGAGCAACTAAGTCTTGGGTACATCTCTGAACATTGTGTGGTATTATTTAATCATGGCTGAAGTAAAGCTGGCACATTTATATTAACAGCATCCTGAAGTCGATGGAGTTTGGGCCGTGTGACAGCTCCACAGCGCAGGTAAGCATGTGGGTTTTTTGTTCTGTTTTTGTGTAATTTTTGGTGTTGATCTAATGTGATGTTCTCTCACAGGACTCATCTAAACCGTTAGAGGTGTTGCTGCTGGAGAAGAACCGCAGCCTGCAGTCTGAGAGCGCGTCTCTGCGCATCGCTAACACTGAGCTCAGCAGTGAGTCTGATTTTAATCAAGAGGAAATACCAACACCTCAAAAACTGCTTGACAATTCACATTTCAATAACATATTTCAAATCAGCCATAAAATCTGACATGAAGTGGCATCAACATTGCTTCTTACCATCAAATAATGTAAAAAAAATTGTGGTAATTATAGCCATTCAACATCAACATCAAAAACCTTCATTTATAATATTTAATAGTCCAGTAGATGTTTTCACTTTGTGGCTGTGTAGGTTAAATCTCAGGCTTATAATCCAGCTCTCGCTGTCATTTAATCAACCCAGTCTCATTGGAGAAACATGATAATATGTTGGTTCTCGTATATGTGAAATATCCAGTGAGTGGCGCTTGAAGCATTTTCAGTTTAATCTGAAACTGCTGTATGCGAATCTGGCAACGTTTTATTACTGTGTGCGTATCGTGGCTCTTTGGAAATGAAATGTCCCATGAGTGGCGCTAAACGGTTATTGCTCTATCGTGCTTGAAAATAACATACCGCCTACTCTAAACCCTACCCTAAACCTAACCGATGGTGTTAACTAGGGCTGCACGATAAATCACATGCGATATTTACAGACGAGCTGCGCAAAAAATCGCGCGAATATGAACGTTGTTTTGCGCAGCTCGTCAGTGAACAACGGCTCTGTGTAGTTAATGCTGCTCCATGTGAAAGCCCGCAGGTGATGGAGATTTACCGCTGATTACAGAACCGGCTTTACTGATAAGATGCGCATTAAATATCGCATGCGATTTATCGTGCAGCCCTAGTGTTAACAAAAGCAAATGTGAGATAAAAGCCGAAGCAACCATGCTATTTTAGCTTGCTTCTACAAGACTGAATGACTTATGACTCATGTTCCATGTGGCTCACAGTGCAGTGCTGTACCGGGTGAGCTACTGAGCAAGTTTACTACATCAGAAAAGCCATACATATGGAGCTGGTTATGTGATGCAAACTCAGATGCATTATTTTTCAAATCATGCACTATGGTAATGTTGTGCAAGAAATGTTGTGCAAGAAAACACACAAAAATAAGTCTTTATTAATTAACTAGTCTGTCATGTAATCATAATTAAGGAATAAAGGTTAAATAAAGCCATTCTAATAAACTGCCTTTATTTAGTGAAATAACTCTGATATTTCTGTCTTTGTCATCACTATATCTGCTCTCTCAGGTTAAATGAGAGATGTCATTATTTAAATCATTATAACATTGATATCATTGTTTTATTTTCATGCTATACAAATGATTCAATTACTAGTAAACACATTTAGGATTTAGATTTTTATGCGATGAATTTATTTCTCACTATACAGTACCTGTATCATAAGTATCAATACTTATATACACACTTGACCTTTGTGGCTTAAAGGGATAGTTTACCCAAAAAATAAATTCTGTTATCAAATATCCAAACTTAAAAAAGTTTCATCTGTGAAACACAAACTAAATAATTTTTAATGAAACCTGAGATATCTGAAATATCCGTTCAAACAGAGAGAGCTGATGACATCATCCGCTAGTAAATAAAAGGAAAGCTAGATTATTATCATGAGTTTATGTAATGATTTGTTTATGATCGTTTATGATGTGAAGCTTCCAAACAGATTCAATCACTTCATATGGTAACAGATTTAATTTATGTTTTACATGTGAACATTGATCAATGCAGATACATAGAGCACATCTAATATGGTAAACTCAAATGTTAGTCATGAGGTTTGATATTTTAATGTTGTCTAAGGGCTTTACTGACGTGTGTGTGTGTCTGTCTTTGTGTGTGTGTCTCTGTGTGTGTGTGTGTGTGTGTGTGTCTGTCTGTCTGTCTGTGTGTGTGTGTGTGTCTGTGTGTCTGTCTGTGTGTGTGTGTGTGTGTGTGTCTTTGTGTGTGTGTGTCTGTCTGTCTGTCTGTGTGTGTGTGTGTGTCTGTGTGTCTGTCTGTGTGTGTGTGTGTGTGTGTGTCTTTGTGTGTGTGTGTCTGTCTGTCTGTCTGTGTGTGTGTGTGTGTCTGTGTGTCTGTCTGTGTGTGTGTGTGTGTGTGTGTCTTTGTGTGTGTGTGTCTGTCTGTCTGTCTGTGTGTGTGTGTGTGTCTGTGTGTCTGTCTGTGTGTGTGTGTGTGTGTGTGTCTTTGTGTGTGTGTGTGTGTGTGTGTGTGTCTTTGTCTGTCTTTGTCTGTCTTTGTGTGTGTGTGTGTCTGTGTGTCTTTGTGTGTGTGTGTCTGTCTGTCTGTGTGTGTGTGTGTGTGTGTGTGTGTCTGTCTGTGTGTGTGTGTGTGTGTGTGTGTGTCTGTGTGTCTGTGTGTGTGTGTGTGTGTGTCTGTGTGTGTGTGTGTGTGTGTGTGTGT